AGTGGCATTATGCAATCTATAAGTGGGAAGACTTACATTTTTAAAAAGTAAAACTTTCCTCAAATCAGACTGTTACTGGTGCCTATGTGCGCAGGCTAATATGAATTTGTTAACGCTGTAATAATAAAAGTAGATTTTTTTAAAAAACATATTTTTAATATCTACATTTCTGGAGGTTCCTGGGGATTTCCTGTTCAGATACCAACTAATGAACCCACCCATTCCACTGAGTCATTGGGAGCATTTAATAGCAATCGCTAATAAAATACATCAATAGGTCTGGGATTTCCTCCTTCCCGTTTTTATTCGTTTAAAGCATTTCAATTTTGCCCGTCAAAACATTGATTTCAGTTTAAAATGGCAGCCGCAGATAATAAACAAATGACAACGATTACATGTGCATCGCAACCCCGAGCACGTTTAACTCAACCCTGCGTTAATTCAACCTGACTAGCGACCCGAAGTGTTTAAATCACGCAGCCAGGGATCCCGAAATGGGGACTGAAGGGAGGCAGGATTGTTTGTGGTTGCAATGCGTCAAAAGTCCCAGCAGGAACTCGACGACAGCAGGACCGAGTCTTGCCTTCCTTGGCAAAGTCTGCGCGAGCTTTTGGGGCAAGCGCGCACAAACATTCAGGGAAATCCACGCAATAGAGCGCATCTACCCTTGATGAAAATGCAATAGGATCGGCTCCCGCTGCCTAGGAGCAGCCGGCCCTGATCCTGCCCCAGGCAAACTAGCACGCCCTGTCCCGCTTGCTCTTTGGACCCAGCACCGTCGTCCTCCCCTGGACAACTGCAGACGTTCCCCAGCCACCATTACGTCTTACCCGGGGTGCCAGCTGCAGAAACTAGGCTGCTGGCATCACAGGCCGTGTTCCTGAGCCATACCAATGGTCGAGGTGGGGGAGTTATGATGGTGGAACAAACCATCTCCGATTCAGCTTAGAGGCTGTCTTCCAGTGCTTTTAAATCGTATATTCTACGAAACCTAGTCAGACTAATTTTTTTGAACTTTTTAAACGATTTATTCTAATACTAGTTTTATAAAAATACTAGTTTTTGTATCTAAAAAAGTAGGTTTTTGGTTTTTTTACAAAAATGAATAGACGCATTGAAATCTTTCCCCTCTTCTAGAGCCGCAGACCAAATAAGACTTTTAAAAAAAACTTTTATTTTTGTGTTGTATGAATGTGCATTGTCTCCACCCAACTCTCCTTCTCCTCCCCGGAAGGAAGGAATCAGGACTTTCTCATTAGCAAAATTCCTTGCTCCCAATACAAGTTTTTACCTCATTCATTCTGTATTGTTGTTGAAGCGGAACTAGCAAAGCGTGGTGTCACTCCCACAAAGGCTTGTCTATACTTTTCAAAAATGATCTCAACAAGCCTTAGGATGTTTGTAAAGCAGCTGGACTGTATTGTGGGTTACTTTGTTTATGCGGAAGAATAACTTCACAGACGTACATTCGGATTGCAACATAAATTTTGCTAATAATTTAATCAGATGCACTTCCTATTGTTAGTTACTTACTGCTTACGTTGTGATATCTATCTACACAGTAATGATTGGAATATCTGAGGAGCAAAAGTGAAGAGAACTTTGCTACCAAAATGTATACAATCAGAAAAATAATGTAGAAAAGGAGCATGAGGTTATTAGAAGTTGTTTTGCTTTGGATTTTTTATTTTTTTTTGTAGTGAGGATGCCATTTGAAATCGAGGGTGGCTTTCCATGACTGAAGAAATAGCAGCATGCCAGGATTTCTCAATAAGAATCAGTTCTAATTAGAATTTCTATACAGGAATTTATTCCATGCTGGTTTATTTGATACAGTTTGGACACTTGGCAAAATTTCATAAACCAATGCTGCAGTTTATTATAATTTAGGAATGCAGATTTTAATGTTTTGGTCATAACAGACAGAAAAATAGAATGGGATTCACTAAGGCAATATCCATAATGAACCCGTCCACCTCAGAAGCACTTCAACTTTAAAGTTTCATTTACCCATTTATTTTCATCTAGTGCCTTGATGGCGAACCTGTGGCATGCAGACAATTTCTGAGGGCACACCGAGGCATTGCCCTGTCAGCTCCAGCACACTGGCCAGCTGATTTTCAGCTGGTTTTTTGCCCCTCCGGAGGGAGAAAAAATAGCCCAACGCCCTCCCCAAGCTCTTAGAAAGCCTCTGGAGCCTGGGGGGAGGGGATGGACCTACCATGCCTCCCGGAAATCGTTTCTGGCCTCCAGGAGGGGAGGCCATTTTCGCCCTCCCCAGGCTTCAAGAAAGCTGTGTGCGCATGCGTGGGGCAGCGTGGCGGAGGCATGCATGCATGTACAGGGGGACGACGCGGGGGATTAAATTATGGGGGTGGCCGCACACAAACGCGAAAGTGCGTATGCATGTGCTTTTGGCACCCCAGGCGGAAAAGGTTTGCCATCACTGATCTAGTATATTTGCACATGTACATTTTAATTTCAAATAAATTTACTATAGGAGTATACAGATATTTTTTACACATGGCTGGAAGTTTTACTCAGCTCCATAGCTTTCCGAATGTGCTAAATTTTATTTGAATCTTTGGGGAACTGGCCTGAAAGTAGCATAAGGCATTGTCTGGCAAAGGAAATAAGAAATGTTTGTGTCATAGTGATCCAATGGAGCCACCAATATTCCATTGCAAACACATCAAAAATGCCCAATTTTGGCCCTGACACCAATGGAACACCACTGGGGGGATAGGTGGCTCGTAAAAACTTGGTGCAAGGTTTCCACAATATCCTCCATCTCACGGCAATCAATAGTTGCTCTGTAGATAGCAACTTAAAACTGGCTTCAGTTGGCTCATTTCATTGATACTGTAAAAACATTCATTGGAGCCTCATTTTTATTTTGCATTAAAACAAAAGGAAAGTTTCCTTTCTGAATCCATCAAACATACAGCTTTGTATATAGCTTCCCAATTTAAAAGTAACTAATATACTTTTAAGCCAATGTAATAGTCCCAATACTAGATGTAGAGATCCTAATTATCATAAAACTTAATTGTATAGGAGATGCAAAAAGTATTAAGACTATTGAGAAACTTAAAAAGCACACGTATAAAGGTATAAAGCACATAATTAAAAAACCCACAGAATGCTAGCACCACCTTGCACTAACGTCATAACACAATCAAGATAAGAAAATTATAGGTTTTATTATACTTCCAACTTTAAGATAATTTCATGTTTAGATATTTCTCCCTTCATGTTCTTTAAATAATGTTAGCTGTTTGGTATCATTGTACTTAGTCAGTTCTTGATATCTGTGACTGGCCAATAGATGTAGAATTTAATTAACATTCTTGCTATTTGTTACTTGCGCAGCCAAATATTGAGATCTCTTATTCCTAGAACTTGACTGGAAATCCATAAATAGAAAGAAGCTTCAGAATTATTTTTTTCACCAGTGGGATCAGTCTACCAGGGCAACTTGGTCTACCTAATTATGGAACAGAATACACTGCTTCCGTTTTTGCCTTTTAGCCCCAATCCAGGGGTCTTCACAGGCAGTCGCTTGACAAAGAAATAAAGGGAGACTAGTATAGATCTATTTCAAGCTATTTAGCTCTCATCAGCTAGTCATATCCTTCTGAGATTCGAACCCAGGCTACTTGCATATTAGGTAGATGTATTAACCTCTGAGCCACAAGTTCTCCTTCTTTTGTTAACTATACCAGGGGAAATATTAAGTGGTTTTTCTCCAGTGGGACTGGTCTACCAGGGCAACCTGGTCTACACAATTATGGGACGGAGCATATTCTTATTAGTATTTTATCTATCCTATGTAAAATTGGAAATTATTACTATATCTTGAGCAGAGTCATCTAAGACATGTTGATTGCTTAGTTATAGAGCACAATAGAGTCCACCTTTTTCATGTACTAAAGACAACAGGACTAGTAGTTGAATCTGTGTCTACTTCATGCAGTTTGCACAGAAATTATCTGAATTTAATTCTACAAAATCCACTTCTCTGAGCTGGAAGTGAAGACCCTACCATTACAATTACAACTTAAAAGCTACCGAATGAAATTGGCAGATTTTAAATAAATACTTTAAAAACTATTTTTACAATATTGTTCTTTACCCAAGTTTTTTCCCCGTAAATGCAGTGCAAAAAGAGGCCATAGCGCTATCTCATTTTATTTCAAGAAGGGAAGACTTCCTGAAAATTGGATGTTGTATGTCTTCAAATAAAGAATTCCACAAAAAATGAAAATGTTGAATGCTCATGTCTTATGGCTGCCCAGAGAAGTTTGAGATTGTTGAAATGGAACAAACCCACATATGTAAGCTATGTACAAGTAGACATACAATATGGTTTTCTGGCTGCGCATTCCTATGTATTTATGTTGCCCCTCATGATTCTGCAGGTTGAATATATAATTGAAACTACTCAGTTGAAAGCATTCAGTGGAAAATATGGGAAGCTATTTCATGGTGTCCTTTCCTTAAATTAATCTTGGATCAATTTCCCTTTGAAAGTGGAAAGTACTAGGATTTTAAGGTGGCTTTATAATTATTAATTACATTTCAAATGAAGTGGCTATGCAGAATTACATAAAGTGCAAAGTAAAGTATTGGGGTAATATCAGATTTGCTGTCATATTCTTTGCATAACACAACTCTTAGCACTGTTTTTTTCAGTGCTATTGCGACAGTTTTCCAAATGGGGCTGATTTCCAAAAAGTAGGAAATTGATCCCATATATGCATATCTAAAATATATTGTCATACTATACAAATCAATTCAGCAAAGGTGACCAACAAGAAGTACTAGAGTGCATAACACCAGACATGTCACTAGAAGGAAAAATCACGAAACTGTGTCCAATTATTTTGGCTATGTCATTCAGGGGAATTCAGTGAATAATGCTATTGTATTGGGAAGAGTTAGGGGTAAAAGGAAAGCAGGCCACCAAAGAACATAATGGCTGGATACCATAAAAGCTGACACCAGCCAGAAAAATCCAAAGAAACAGTGCAAGATCAGAAGATGTGGACAGACCTGGCCCATAGAATTACCAAGAGTTGGACATGACTTAATGGATAATATCATCATCGTACAAATCCATGGAGAGCTAGCTTCATATAAGAAATCTGTTACACCTGAATGATCTCTAGTCTTCACAATTGTCATAAAATCAATAGATTTAGTCATTAAATCATGTTACAAAGGTGATACTAAATGTATGCTAAAATGACGTGTTGAAATATTTGTTTTCATTTCTTTTCTCAAGCATGACACAGATTTTTTTTTTAAAGAAACCACTACAAATTGATTGCAGTAGTCAGGAATTATTGGGTGTAGGCTTATTTTTGTGGAAAATAAATGAAGGCAGACTGGCCTTGCCTAATCTAATGATGTTTGCCACATCAAGTACTTCCTGTTATTGTCTACCTTTACTTAAGAGCAGGATCAAGGCCATCACTTATTCCATCCAGCAAAGATATAGTTTAATGATTTAAACTTTAGTGAGAATATGTAACTCTTTTTAACTCTATGGTTTTGTTCTTATGATTTGTATGGGATCAGGCTTGCAAATCAAAAAGCTATGTATGCAACGATTTTTTTGATTATAATTATTTTTGTTGCAAATATTTATTTTAAACCAACCTAGAAGGTTTTTTTTCAGAATGATTTGGTTGTTTAGAATACATAAATAAAATGGATTTTAGTAGCATTCTACAGTACAGGTAGCTCTCGACTTACAAACACAATTGAGCCCAACATTTCTGCTTTTAAATGAGACATTTGTAAAGTGAGTTTTGCCTCACTTTACGACCTTTCTTGACACAGTTAATTGATAAGTTACTAACCCAATTGTTCAGTGAATCTGGCTACCCCATTGACTTTTCTTGTCAGGTCACAAAAGATGATCACATGTCCCCGAGACACTGCAATGGTCATAAATATGAACCAGTTGCCAAGGATCTGAATTTTGATCCCATGATCATGGGGATGCAGCAAAGGTCAAAACTCTGGAAAATGGTCACAAGTCACTTTTTCAATGCCATTGTAACTTTGAATGATCACTAAATGAACTGTAAGTTGTGGACTACCTGCATTTGCAATGGTGTGCATTGGACTATACATAACTGTACGATTAAATTGATACATAATTACAAATGAAAAATACTTTTGTAAAATACTTTTTACTATTTATAATTTGTGTAATTTATGTAAAACATTTACACCAGGTTTATGCATAGTAGTACCAAAAATATGAAAATATTATCTCATAGGGACTTGTGGTTGTATAGCAATGCTACACGTGATGAGGAGCAAAAATGAGGAAATTTACCACAAAGGTCTATCAGTGTCTGCTAACATAACTCCATACAAGAATCTCTGCAGGCAGATAATTACTAAGTGTGCTGCAGAGGCTTGAAATACATCTACTTTGTCAGTCAATGATGTGCTCTTCTTTTCATCTTTGTCTCTCATTTTTGTTTGTTTAGGAAGAATCTGGCTTTCTAAGCCTGAAGCAGTTTTACCATAAAAACACAGATCAAACAATGCTTGGAATATTACACTCAGCCTATTAGTATAATACTAAGCACCACTTTTGCTAAATGTAAAGGTGATTCTTTATGGGCAAGGCAGCTCATGGACCAAGGGTTCAAATACTTGTGAAGCATAGATTTTGAAGGTTTCTTTGTTTCCTCAAAAAAGTCTTTTCCTAGCACGGTGTCATTTTTCCTCTGCCTGTGCTAACTAAAAGCCCTATCAATTGTGGAGCTGACGGGCAACAGAGAGCCACAGCAGAGGGATGAAAGAGCCACATGTGGCTCAGGTGTAGGTTCCGGCTTCTTCTACTGCCAGTTTGCTCAGGGCCGCGTTTCCAGCATAGTGAGCACTTGATGCACACTATGCGCAAATGCACAGTAGGTAAAAATGCTTCTGTGCATGCGCAGAAGCAAAAAACAAGATAGGCACTGCCGATAGAACCGGTTCAGGGTTGTGGCTGGCCGAGTTACTACCTACTCATCCAAAACTGTAGGAACCCACCTCTAACGTGGCTCCAGAGCCATGGGTTGCCGATCCCTGGTATATATTATATTATAATATGCCTGCTATAATAGTTAAGAAACCAGGAGACTATGAATTCCAGTCCCGCCTTACGCTGAATGGATGACTTTGGGCCAGTGACATGCTCTCAGCCCAACTCAACTCATAGGATAGCTGTTGTGGGAAAAAGAGAAGAAAGAAAGAGTATTATGAGGATTCACTGCCTTGAGTTATTTATAAAGTATTAAAGGTTTGATTAAAAAAATGATAATTTTTGCAGATACAATATAAGGACTATTTTATATTTATTCTGATTGTTTTCCAATTTCCAGCTATCTCATAAGGTTATCATGAGGCTAACATGTAAAGTAAGATCACAAAAGAAAAATATAGTTAAGGTTGCCAGCTTATGAGAAAAATATTTGGTTATTGTTTAAACAAAGACTTTAAAAATAGTAGGCTATGCATCAACTGTGAGAAAGATGAACTCTGTTCAGCTAAGCATTTTGACCTACAGAAGGTTGAAATACATTCCTCCCTCCCCACACCTACCATCATTGCTGTAGATTCTTCAAATCTTAGCCTTCTTTCAGATGGCAACCTCTATGGGAAAAGCAGGGTAGAGCAAGAGCCAACACTGCCTTGTAGAGATGGTGTCCACTTTGCTGAGCAGTTTAGATTGAGCAAAATAATAAATAAAGGGCTTGAAACTTAGACTAGTTCTCTGCAGAAAAATGGAAGAGTATCAACCAATCATATTTACTTACGGGACATATTTACTTATGGGAGAATGATGATGGGAGGAGACATATGTAAGTTTCAAACTTCAGGTTTTATCTATCTATCTTGAATAGTAACCATTTGCAGTTTCTGATGTTCTTTGCACTAGAGGGCCTTTATACTACCTGAAATAAAAACTATCTGATTAAGAATTATATTCCTGAATCCATGTCAACTAGCCTTCTAGTTTAAGTACGAGTCCGGGAGAAGCCCAATGCTTTCCTGTTCCCTTTTCCTTATGAGGGGAAACTGCTCAATGTAAACAAAGCAAAAAATCAGCTGGAAGCCCTCATGCTTTCTCCAATTCCAGAATTGGGGTGGCTCACCCCAATGGTTTACCTGCCATTCATCTTGTGTAACAGAAGGAAAGCACTTGAAGCTTTCCCTAAATTGTCTATGTCCTCACACATGGGAAACTGAGTGAGTGTGGAGAGAGACAGCAATATACTCTGAAATAATTTACTCTCCAGGTTGAATACACAGCCTATTGGACAAATCCAGTTAGCAATATATGCTGTAGCCAGAAAAATGCTGCCATATCTATATAAAAATGGAATTCACAAACAATATTATTTATTGCAGCTGAACCAAATACTCGATTCTTTTTAAGGGGCTTCAGAAAAAAGAAACAGATGAATGCAGAAAAGAAGCAATGTTAATCTGTTGTAGGAGTGTCCAGGACATATAACCTAATTTTAATCATCCATAAAATTTTAACTGAAAAACAGAAGTATTTATGTGAAATGCTCACTAGTTAAAATGTATCATTCCAACCCAAGGATAAATGTGCATTGTAGAAAACCACATAACTGTCTTTATTTTGTATTTAAATTTTAAAATATAATTTCTTTGTACAGAATAGCATTATACATTGAAAATTATACACCATAAAGCCAAATGCATTTTAAAAATTCAACCCTGTGCAGAAAAAAAACTTTGCTGAAACACTGAGATTATGATAGTCAAAGAATATGCAGAATCCATCTGAAATCTATTGTTCTGACTTGTTCATCTTTTAAAAGCTTATTCAAAGTATCTTCCTTAATAGCTTCCTAGTACTAATGGTATTATCTGCCCCCCCAAAAAACCAATTAAAACCCTTATGCAATTTAAACATTCAAAAGTTAACAAGGGAATTATTTATCCTCCATTTTAAATGACATCATTGTGGTTAATTCTAAAATGTCTTTCTTGATTTTATTCTAAAAATAAAGAATCCCTGATATACATTTGCTATTCTTATCAATAAATTCAGAGCTATATCATACAAATGTTAAGGTGCCTTCATTTTACTCTTCCCTTTTTCTTAGTCTGAATACCTCTAGTTAAATTAATCCCTACCATTAGGGAGCGAGGCAACTGTCACAGGCAGCTGATGCTGCAGTTCACAAACATTTTACAGTACCTCCTTCCTAGTCATTTCCCCTGAACTTCTTACGCATTCTTGATTGAAAAACAAAGCTGATTATGCTACATTACCTGTCTTACATCCTTTAAACTAGGGATGGCTTGTAGGCTGCATCTGATTTAAAATAATATCCTATATGGCTCAAAAAACTCTCCAACACAGGGCAGGAAAATGCTTTTGTGTTTTGTAACCCCTTAGGGTTACTACAGATTTAGATCTAATATTAATATCTTCATTATTTAGATTGAGATTATGGACTCCTGGTGCACATTAAGCAATATTCGTTAGTTTCTCCATAAGAACTAAGTCCATTGCTATATTAAATCACGCTTCAGTTATGAGACATTTATTGTATTGTCCCTATGTATGTTCACACAAACCCCTCCCTGTCCAATGGAGTTTCCAAGTGTGATTCTTTACAAGTAACAGACGCACTTTTGTTGTTGCATTATTCTTTTTTAATCGGTGAAAGTCGCCTTTAAGGTATCACGTGCCATCAACTGCGGGGCAGTTAACGTGGTACAGTCTGCAAACACACATACACACACAGTATCATTTACAACGGGCCATTTCATAATGATATTATGTAATGATCAACCACAGCCAAGAAGATGCACGTTAACACGCGCACAGATCTTTGAAGACTCCGATTCTTGGCTTCAGTTGCCTATTGCAACCTTGCAAGCGGGCACACGCAGAATCCACATACCCCAATCCAGAAAGAAGCGCGGGGGAAGGGGAGCACTTAAGGGAGATACACGGGTTCCCGGTGCGTGCTCTACACGGATCCTCGCCGGATTCGTCATAGAAACCTCCACGCTTCACCTCACTTTTTGGGGGAGGGTGGGGGAGGTGACAGAGGGTGTGGGTGAGAAGAGCCACTCAGCTCCCTCCCCCCGTTCTTTATCCTCGCTTGTTTTGGGCTGCCTCCGAAAGGACGGCCACCCCTCGCTGCCGCCTCTTCCTTTTCGGATCGCGTCTTGCCTGACGCCGCGGCCCACCGTCCCTTCCCCCACCAGGCAAAACACGTTTGAGAAACGTGAGGCGGCGGCGATCACGTGGATCCGCCGGGCCAATGAGGAGAAGAGGGTGGGGCTTGCCTACCCCGTCATTCAGCCGGGCTGCATAGAGTCACAGGGCGAACGGCGAGGAGAGGAAGGGCGTTCAACTGGTGAGGCGAGGCAGCGCTTTAATTGGGAGGAAAAAGGCGAGAAGGAAGAAGGAGACTCGCGACCGAGCCGCTCCCTACCTAGTTCTCTCCCTCGCTCTCTCTTTGCCGCCGCGTTTAGGGAACGCTGTGGGGCTCCTTCCCCAGCTGCGAGTGGGTGTGCGAGGCAGAGGAAAAAGAGGGGTGATGCGTTTCCCGCTGGCGGCCATCTCCACCGAAGCCGCTGCTTCCACCGCCGCAGCCGCTGCGTCCACCGGGGCTTAAGAGAGGCGCAGCTCGAGCGGAATCTTCCGCCCTCGACCGGAGAACGGGCTTTCGAGTAAGCGGGATCTCTATCCCGACATGAGCCGCGAAGTCTGAACGCCCAGCGACGCTCTTCCACCCGACAAGCCGACCCCGCCGCCCGCCGCCCCAACCACTTACCCACCCCGGCGAAATCCGTCCGACTGCCGGAGATGGGGGTGAACTCGGTGCACTGGTTCCGCAAGGGGCTTCGACTCCACGACAACCCAGCGCTGAGGGAGGTCATCGAGGGGGCCGACACGGTGCGCTGCGTCTACATCCTGGACCCCTGGTTCGCGGGGTCCTCCAACGTGGGGATCAACCGGTGGAGGTGAGTGGGCGTGAGGCGACGGCTCCGGCTCCTTGGAGGGAGCTGATCGCTTTTCAAACACCCCCCCCCCAAAAAAAAATAATTCGGAGTCGCTGCGCACGCGCACTGGCGCTTCGTTACACAACCTCGGGTCTCCGCGGCCTCTTCGGAATCGTTTCTGACGTCTCAGCGTTCAGGAGGGAAGGGAGGGGGTGGCGACTCTCCCGCCTGTTTGGGGTGAAACGGGGCTCGATAAGTGGCGCTTATTTCCTTCTGAATTCAGCCCTTGCTTCCTAGGAAAGGCCTAAAAGGTTGCATAAACCCCCAAAAGGTGCGCTGCCTTTTTCTTATGGCATGGAGTGGGGAAAAAGCTTGGAAAGTTAATACCAAATCATTGGTGTTAGGTAGCTGGTGTTGGCGATGTCAAAACGTCAGATGGCTCTGTAAAATCCTAGTGTTTTTATAGCTGATCCAAAATGGATGTTTGTAATCACATTTCTTGAAAGAGTAGAGCGGGGTAACCTCTGTTAAGGCTTCATCAGATGAAAATTGTATAAGACACACGTGTGCGTGTTTTTTTGATTTCCACATTATTTTCCTTGCACTGTAAAAGACACTTAGTTTTATTGCTTGGTTTTATGTATAATGGTCAGGCTGCTATCCCTACTTTTGCTTACCCTGACCTGTAATTTTCCTAATTGGATCTTTCCCAGTCTCTTTCCCTGTGCTGTCAGCAAAGAAACAATGACATATGCAATCCCTCCTGTTGCTATGCACACACTTGCATTCCAATCATAACCAGTACTGTGTTCATAAAATTTGTGAAAGATATGCCCAAAATTCTCCAGTTAGAGTAGAATGTTGGATGTGCCTGTTTGAATACAGTGCTTAACGGAAGTGTATTGAATAGACATATAAGCTTTTGTGAGCTGCATCAAAATTAGATCAAGTGGAAGCTTCAGAAGCCTATTCCTTATCACAAAGGCTCATGCCTTTCAACATCATTTGTTAGTTGGAACCGATTCTGCTAAATTCCTTAGTAGTATTTTTAGCTATTTGGTTTTGTTTCTTACTTTTAAAAAAGCAGTACAATTAGAATATGCTGTGCTATGGATTTAATTTAGCATGGTGAATGTAAACTTTGTACTCCCTTGGGGGTATGGAAAGCAGATACTCAGCCATAGCAGAAGTGTAGAATGTGGCTATTGTTCAACAGTAGAGCAATAGAGCATCTACTTTGCATGCAGAAGTTTAATCCTTGCCAATCTCATGAAAGTGTTATGGGAGAAAGCCATTCTCAGTCAGCAATAGACAATTTTTCCAAACATGCAAGGCATCTTTTGAGGTGTAACTGATATGGGTATAATTGGTACAGTTTCAATAGAGCATTTTAACAATCTCTTTCTCTTGGTCTCCCTAATAGTGAGAGGTCTAACAAACCCAGGCAATTCCATCCACAACTTACTGTAACTTACAAACCAAGAACATTATCTGCATGAAATGCTAAATCAACAGTGAGTCAAATTGTAGTATTAGCATGCTTACTTGTTTCTAGAAAAATCAGAATCCTTGGAGAACTGCATTTCAAATAAATGACATTTAAGTGCTTAACACTGGATTTACAAAGGCCTGAAAAAATTTCTGGATACCACAACCAGGCAATTACTGTTAGTCACACAAGAAGCTGCACTATCCATATTATGGAAAATAGCCTTATTTTTCATTCAATTTTTCTTGCCTAGTAGTAGCTACTACTGCTCTTGCCATTATAAAACAGTGCTATAACTCTGATTATTGTTAGGTCAAAACAAAGACAAACATAACATTGTATTCAGACTTTAAAAAATACTGTATCCTAAAAACACTGAGCCTTAATAAATATTTGAAAATGATTTTATGCCTTGATCCTTGCTTTAGAATGAGCATGCATGCATGGGTTACTTTCATAGGTCTATTCAATAGGTCTATTCACAGGTTAGCAAGAATTGTATTTCACTTTTCTTCTGCATGTTACCATAGGCTGTTGAAGGTATCCTAGAGAAAGAAGTAAATGAAGAGGAAATGCTTAGAATGTACAGAAAATTCTGGGCCTGATGAAGTGAGGTATACTGGAAACATTAGTTTGTGATGTAGTAAGTTGTGTGCAAAATTCATATTAAACTTATGAATGAATTTCATTACAACTGACCTACTGACATGCTGTGCATAATTGTTAGCCTGCTGTGACATATAGCAATCATTAACCTCTTTTCTCTTCATTATTTTCCTGTAGCATAGGCGGTGGTATTCATATTGTGAAAAACTAGTACAGTATTCAGAAGTCTTACTGTGTAATTCCTTTTTTTTCTGAATGTGCTTTATTTCTTTATTAACAAATTAAGAAAAATACATTTGTAGCAAGTTGCCTCCTTGAAATCTTTGTTAAATGTTCTGTTAAGGTTTCTGTGACTCTTGTGTAAAATATCTTTTATTTACTAAATGCTGTATAAAGCATTGTTCTATTTTTTGATCTAAAAATACAGAATTCCCCAGGTACAATAAAATATCCATTAAGTATTTTATCTTATTGTTATAAAACAGGAGTCATCCAGTCCCATGTATTTCAGAATTTGAAGAAATGGTTGCCATGTGGATCTGGCTAGTCACAAAAACAAGCAAGTTGACCATACAAAGGCAGAAATTTGATATAAGTAAAATTAGTATTTTCTGTACCAAAATAGTAGTTTTTCAAAAGTAAGGCTAATTATATTTTAGGAGTTTTTGTCCCAATTTAAAATGGTGAGAAGAATTGTGATTTTTAAGTGATCTTGGGATAGTTGAGCTCTGGAACTGCAAGTTGTATGATTCACCCCGAAAATGTAAGTGGGAAATTGCAACCAGTTTTCACAATTGTGATAGAATCCTTCAGGGGGCACAAAATTATGTTCAACACTTCAGGTGGGTTGTAACCTCAGCTTGCCTAGAAGTGATAAATACATTTTAATCTGTTTTAATCTATGTGAAATTGTGCTCTTTTGTCTTAAGGTTTATTTCATATTCATATACAACTGGCATGGAATTAGGGATATCCTCACAACTAACAATTTATCGAGGGTTATTCCTGTAAAATATTACATGTCCAATAAAAAAGCTTTTTCCTCAACACTTGATGGTTTTAGAAGGGTAAAATGAAATACCCTTTAGAAGGGTAAAATGAAATACCCTTATAGTATTTATATATATGAAATACCCATATATAAAAAATGAAATAATCTCATAACTTATTTATACTTGATTTCAAAGGACTCTAACTCTAAAAGAACTGGGGCAACTTACTTTTTTAAAACAACATATAATATAAAAGAAAACAATTTGATACAAATAAAAATCAAAAGATCACAATGAGCTCTAAAACTCTAATGCCAGGGACAGAGCCAGATCTTCAGGAATTTAGGGAACTTTTGCTTTTTCCTAGCATGTCATGTTATTGGCATGGAACCAACCAATAGTTAAATAATTGCAGGTGTGCTATGTGTTGAGGGTTAGAAGAAGTTAATTAATTGAAATAGTAATGCATCCTGCTTAGGCACAAAAATGATAAATACAGTATTAAGGTACACAGTTCTCCTGGTTCTTAATTCAGTCTCCAACCCCCAGCCAGGGCCCACTACTGGGCCCTCAGCTTTTTGGAACCAGGCTGCAGAAGGGATGGGCGACCACATGCCATCTCCTGCCCACCTGCCAGTACACAAAGCTGAAAAGTTTGGGAAACACTGTCTTAAAATATGTCATCAATTATATATCTGTCATATAGCATTTGTGCATAGTAAGTACCATATTTTTCGGAGTATAAGACGGACCTTTTTTTCCTCAAAAAAGAGTCTGAAAATCTGGGTGTGTCTTATACATCGAATACAGCATTTTTTGCCTCCCAAAGCCCCGTCCCCTTCACCAAAATGGCCGTGCATAGCCTTATGAAGGCTTTCAGAGAGCTCCTGGGGGCTGGGGAGGGCGGAAATGAGCAAAAATAGGCTGTTTTTTGCCCTCTGAGCCCCCAGCAGCACTCTATAAGCCTCTATAAACCTATGCATGCAATTTTTTGACAAAAAAGAGGCCCGTTTTTGCGAAAAATGGGTCATTTTTGGGAGGTTTGCAGAATGCAACCCCTCCCCTTTTTTGGAAATCTCTAACTGATGAGAATTACATTGATCAAATGCTGTACCAGCAGAAACTAAGTTTTAAGGTTTGTCAGTGATTTCCTTCTCCAGCACATGGATAAATCACCTGGCAACATCTACCTACCTACTCACTCTCTCCCTACCTACCTACTGTATTTCTCTCTCTCTCTATGCCTCTACCTACCTACCTACTCTCTCTCTATCCCTACCTATTTATTGTATTTCTCTCTCTCTATCCCTCTATCTACCTACCTTCTGGTTAGCTTTGTAAGAAAGTGCATTAGGGTATTTGTTTTCAGAATGTCAAAAATGAAAATTTTATCTTGAGGAAAATGAACAGGAATGAGCTTATAGACAAAGTCACTTCCTGAGGGACTTTGATACCAAGAGTTGTTTTTGAAGCGACATGCAACATTTAGGAAGAATTGAGATAGCCATCTGTCATCAGTATCTTTTTCTGTCAGTTATCTACTTTCTAAAGTCGAGATACAAATGCATAAATCTTAACGTTAATAATGAAAATCAAAATATGTAGAATGGTTTATTTAATTGTTGCTGATTCTCTTACCAGATTAAACGTTTCTCTAAATATAGGTCTCTATTAAATTAGAAAAACTATGCTGCAAATAAATTTATTTGTGAAATATTATTGGTACATTTTAGGAATTTTTTGTTTATATTATTTTAATTAGAACTTTGTTTAAACATTTTTTTTAAATGCCCTTTATTCAGCAATGGAGAATTTTGTTTTGCCTGGCACAGCTTGCAAAATAAATTACGCTGCTCACAAATGTTTATACTTGCCCAACTACTATATATCCCATGTTATAATTAAAAAGTGCTTTCTGGGAAGGAGGTGAGTTT